GCTGTATAGCTAGCTGTATAGCTAGCTGTATAGCTAGCTGTATAGCTAGCTGTATAGCTAGCTGCATAGCTAGCTGTATAGCTAGCTGTATAGCTAGCTGCATAGCTAGCTGTATAGCTAGCTGTATAGGTAGCTGCATAGCTAGCTGCATAGCTAGCTGATGCTAGCAGGTAGCTGAGTAGCTAACAGTGGCTAGCCATAGCTAGCTGAGTAGCTAGCTAGGGCTAGTCAGTATATTGTTGTTGGGTTGGGTCTTAGAGACAGAAGAAAAACAGAAGGTGAATGTCGAGTGAAGTTGTTGTCTTAATACCCCCTTGAATATACTTCTAAACAATATTTTATATAAAATAATATATAATATAGTAATACAACATAATTTATTTTTTAATTGCTGCTGTCTCCTCCTCATATGAGACAGGATGTAAAGAGAGACAGCAGAGGGGCCCCTTACAAGCAAACACCTAAATTATAATTATTGTTTCTCTTGGATATAACCCAGCAGCAAATGCTGCAGCAAAAGCTGCTGCTGTAGCAGCAGCAGGAGCAGCAGCAGCAACTGCTGCTGCTGCATGTGCTGGCGATACACGCAAATGTGTCTCTTTCTTCGTCTTTTTAATCTTCCCTCGAAGGCGTTCAGCTGCTGCTGCTGCAGCTGTTGCAGTTGCTGCTGTGAAGGACGCGCAACAGCAGCAGCAGAAGCAGCAGCAGCAGAAGCAGCAGCAGCAGCAGAAGTGAGTGTCTTCTTAGGGTTTATGCTGAGAATACACTCTAGAAGTTTTGAGCAAGGCTAACGAAGATTAAAATTAGAGAGAAATTGAAGGAGCTGCAGATACACCGCAGCATTGGTGCTGCTCTGTGCAGAGGGGTCTGTACACTTTAAAAAGAAGTTTTATATTTTAAGTAAATTGCATATTTTAAATGATTTTAAATAGAAGACAGCTTAAAACCCCTTCAAATGCATTCATCATACCCCTGAGGTGTATATGCAGCTCCCACTGTGTTGCTGCGGTCTTCAGCTGTCTGCAGCATAGATAGATATAGAGGTGTTGATGGATTGTGTATTAAATTTATATTATTTTTGTATTTGTTTCTGTTTTAAAAGATGCATTTTAATTAATTTTATTCTTTCTTGTGGATTTATCAAACAAAGAAATACAGGGCCGCCGCTGCCGACAAAGGGTGAAGTTGAAGAGGTAGCAGCAGCAGCATTTTTGTTATTTCTTTTTTGCTTCTTTGTCATTAAATAAAATATTTGAATTTCTTTTTCAATTCATAGACAAAACACAGAAACTCTCCACCGCAGAAGGCTCTCTCAATCGCTCCTCAGGTGTACCTCCTTCTTCTTACTCAAACCAGCAGCAACACAAATAAATAGCAGCAGCAGCAGCAGCAGCAGCAGCAGAAGGTGCAGCAAGTAGACGCAGGCTGAAGCTGATTCGGTGTCTGCTGGGGTCATATGCTTGTCTTAGTGTACACCAAAGGTGTATCTTCCTCGGGTGTATCTGCACAAGTATATGGATACACCTGGGTATGGAGGGGCCCTACGGGGGCCCCCAGGGGCCCCAGGGGCCCCCCGCTCTTTTTCTTGCAGCCAGTGCTGCGAATGTTTAACACCAGTTCGATGCGTAGTAGATCAGCACGAGGTGGAGATAATTCCTTCTTCGGCTCGCAGCAGCAGCAGCTGCAGCAGCAGCCGCAGCAACAACGGGTATTCAGGTAGAGGTGCTATCTCTAGCCCTGATTCCACTGTACGTACAGCTCGTTTCAGTAGCAGCAGCAGCTGCTTACGACAGCAGCGACACAGCGATGGTGTAGCAACAGCAGCAGCAGCAGCAGCAGCACCAGCAGCAGCAGCAGCAACAACAACAGCACGAGGAGTTATACGCCCTGCAGCTTTATTGTTGGGGGCCCCTCTGTCTTCTGCTGCTCCCTTGGGGCCCCCAGGAGGGGCCCCTCTGACTAATCGCAGCGCAGCAACCTCTGAAATATATACAGAGATCTCCAGCAGACAAATATCAGCAGATGCTGCAGCACCCAAAGTACCCCTAATAAATTTACAGCAAATGCAGAATCATCGTGCTGCAGCACCGGAGTCTCCTATCAGCAGCAGCGAGCGTTTGCTGCACATACACTCCAGTAATTGTACAACCCCAACAGCTGCTACCTCTGCTGCTGCAGCTGCTGCTGCAGCAACAGCAGCAGCAGAAGCAGGGAGAAACTGCAGAAGCAGCAGCAGCAGCAGCAGCAGCAGCGGCGCCGTTTCTCGTCCTTCTGGTCTAGGTGTCTCCTCTTTTTCTTTATTAGAAAAGGAGACAGTGCAAGAAGAAGAAAAACTGTCTCTCTCTCGCTTAACTACTGTCTCTGTCTCCTTTAGAGATGAAAACACCTCAATAGACAGCCAAACAAACCCCTCCTCTGCTGCATGCAGCCGCAGCAGCTCTTTGCTGCACCTCCCTATCCTTTGTTCGGAGACAGAACAGAGACAGGCTCAACCCACCAGAGGAAACAGCAGCAGCATCTACTGCAGCAACAACAGCAGCAACAGCAGCAGCAGCAGCAGCAGCAGCAGCGGGGGGTTTTGTGGGAATGAAGATGATTTGTTTTCGGATTCTTTTTCGGGTGTCTCTGCACATAGTCAGTGCATGCAGCCCCAACCTGGTGTTCTGCTGTCTGTACACCTGGGTCAGCGCTTGTCTCCTGAGAAATTAATACACAAGGAGACGACTATTCTCTCTACAGCACCCCCTTCAGCTGTCTGCTGCAGCGCTTGTTTTGCTGCTGATAGCTTTCCTTTGTTCGGGGGAGACATGGCTTGCGACTGCGGCGAGGCGAAGGGGCTGCTGCTGCTCTCCACCAAGGAAACAGCAGCAGCAGCAGCAGCAGCAGCAGCAGGAGCTTGGGGGCCGCTGCAGCCCCCAGAGGCCTCTGCTGAAGCGCTGAAGAGACTCACAGACTCTGCTGCTGTTGCTGCTGCTGCGTCCACCCAGAGAGCAGCAGCGGGGCTCCTTTAATAATTACTGTAGATTATTCTTATGAAGAAAATGCAGCATAGATTTTCGTGAAGATCGCATGCATGCAAACGCTGCTGCGGTCTCGTAAAAGGGGCCCCTAGGGCTATACATAAATGCAGCTAGAACAACCCTCCAGGGGTTTAAAACTTCCGAGGGTTTAGGGTTTAGGGTTGCAGGGGTGTATAGATAGGGTGGTGCTTTCGGCGGATAGGGCCGCGCTGCTGCTGCTGCTGCTGCTGCTGCTGTTGCTGCAGGTGCTCTAAGGATATTTTTGTGTTTTGTTTGAATGCCTTTGTTTTTTAATTGTTCTTTTGCGCGGTGTAACCGCAACGCAGCAGCAGCAGCACAGCGCTAAAGAGGCCCCGCTGTTGCCTCCTTAGCTGCCTGTGTAGCTGCACCTGTTGCTGTTGCTGCTGCTGTTGCTGCTGCTCTTGCAGCAGTTTGTGGCCCTGCTGCTCTTTCCGCTCCAGTTGCTGCAGCAGCTCCAAAGAACCTAGTGTCTTAAGTGTCTCCTCAGTGTATCTCAGCCCTCCTCGGTGGTGTATCTTGTGCCTCCGCATATAATATGGACACTTAGCGGGTGCTGATAAAGCCTGCAGCCGTTGTTCAACTTCCTGTAAACCCCGTTTACAGTACTGTAGAAGTGGAAGTAGCAGAGCCAGCAGGAGGATGCAGCACGTGCATGCAACCCACGTTATATATAGTACAAGTATTGTCTTGCAACCGCACGTTGGTCAGCCCCTTCCTTTCTTCTTCATCTCAGCCGGTCAGAGCCGCGCCAAGGCTTTAAGGGAACCTTGAGAGGGAAGGGGAGTGGAATATGAAATCTTTAGACTTGTTTTTAAACCCTAAAAATGCGTTTGCATCAATGCAGCAGATAGCAGTTTTATGCTCTTTCGGCAGAGTAGCTGAAGACTGCACGTAGCGACGCTAGGCGATAGTTTGAGAATGAACGGGAGAAGAAGACGAAAACAGACTAATTTTAATGCTAAATAGTTCAAATAATGCATAAAAAACTTTCTTCATATGGAAAAGAAGATCCTTTCGTGCAGCTGTAGGCAGTCTTCGAGCACCAGGAGTTCAAGACAGAGCTGCACGTACACCGGAAGTGAGAGGATAAAGGCGGCGATCCTCCCATAAATCGCCACTTTAAGAAGTTTTCTCTTGAATGAATCGAATTAGAAAATGATTATTAATGCTAATTTATGATCAAAATATTAATTTCCTGCACTTTCCTTCTGCTTTCCCCCTCCAAGAACCCGATGCCGAAGGCGGCGGGCAGTCGTCTGCGATCGGCTTGGCTGCCTCGTGGTGGTGGTCACTCAGAGGCGCAGAACTCCTCGAATGAATTCTTTTTATGAATATTTTAATAATTGAACCCCTTTATTTCTACAGCACAGAAGGGGCAGGCTACTGCTCAGTGCTGGGTAGGGCATCCTGAACTCTTGCAGCACGGAGGCCTACAGACAACAAAGTCGTGTTGATGAACAGCATGGGCTATAGGCACACACAAAGAGCTCCTTACATCTTTCAGGCAGCTTGTTTTTATTTCTTAGGAAGGAAACACTCCTCAGCAGTCTCACTGCTATCTCGTTAGCGCCAACTGTCTTACAACCCCCCGAGATGTCCATCGGCAGTCATCATGCAGCTTGCATTCGTAGCATCTTCAGAAGGAGGGGGGAGGCATGAAGGGCCCGAGATGCTATCAGCGCAGCCGGAGTCCTCCGCGGTGTCTACGCTCCCAGGGACCCCTTGAAGCAGCAAAGTGCGCGGCGTTGTATCACAACTTCGCTGCAGCTGTTTCTTATTATCTACTCAGGACGCCAGCATCGTCCTCCTTGGGAAATGGGGATAACGTGGGGCAGGAGCGCCTTGCCGAACTCCCCCCTTGTGCAGCAACAGCTGTACCAGCAGCAGCAGCAGCAGCAGCAGCAGCAGCAGCAGCAGCCCTTGTTGTGTTTCTGCATTCACACACAATGGGTGCCCCAGAAGGGGGAGATGGACTGCGGGCTTGCATGCGCTCAAATGATTTTGAAGTGCGTCTTCTTTTGTTGTATATCTTCACTTCGCCCGATAGTGTTTCTTTTTAAGGAGGAAGCTGTTGCTGCCAGTTGCTGACTTTGCATGCGATGTCTGTCTATGTGCATGCGCTTTTATACACCCCTCAGGACTCTGCACACTTCGGGCGGCATCCCTCAGCCTTCGTTTTTGCTAGTTGATCAAGAAGGAGACAGCAGCAGCAGAGGAGACAGCAGCAGCAGCGGAGACAGCGACACAGACAGCGCCGCTGAGTGCGCATGCACTGCATGCAGCACCTCCCTTCCCGCAGAAGCAGGGGGCCCCCCTTATTTGCAAACCCTCTCTGGGGGCCCCTCACCAGCTGACCCTCCCCGCGCTGGAGCAACGGCTGTCTTTGTGTCTCCTTCTCGTGATGCTGCCTCTGCTGCAGACGCTGCTGCAGCAGCTACAATAACTGCAGCAGCAGCTACAGCAGCAGCAGCAACTACAGCAGCAGCTGCAAATGCGGCAGCAGTAGCAGCAGCAGCTACAAATGCTGCAGCACCAGCAGCAGCAGCAGCTACAAATGCTGCAGCACCAGCAGCAGCAGCAGCAGCAGCAGCTACAAATGCTGCAGCACCAGCAGCAGCAGCAGCAGCTACAACTGCTGCTGGTGCTGGCTCTCGTGAGCGCTGCATCTGCATGGAAGAGGTCTCCGCAGGATTGCAGCGTGAAGGCGGGGGTAGGAGGAGAGTCTTGTCCTCAGGTTTAATCGAGAAAGACATTATTAGGGTCTCTGCATGCGAATTAGAGAAGGGTGTTTTTGGGGCTGAGCTTACCAGGGCCCCGCAACCTGCATGCGCAAGACAAGCAAAAAAGCTGCTAAAGAAAATCTCTTGTGGAGGCTGGACTGTCGATTTGCTGCTGCTGCTGCAGCACCTCCCTTGCGGCATTGCTACTTCTTACCTGGGCTTCAACCCCAAACATGCAGACAAAGTCAGTATACTTCCTTCCCTTGCATGCATGCATGCATGCATGCATGCATGCATGCATGCATGCAGTGTACGCACCCTCATGCATGCATGCAGTGTATGTACACTCGAGACATAACACCCACTGCCTCTAGCGATAATCTGCATGCATGCATGCATGCATGCATGCATGCGTTTGGCAGCAGTATGGATTGCATGCATGCATAGATATATGCATGCATGCAGAGAATGTGTTTATAGTGTTACATTTAGTGTTAAAATTAGATTATGGTGTGTAGCTTTGACAGGAGGATATTGGGGTGTACGTGCAGGTGCAGTTTAGCGTTTTGTTTATTTCTCTTTGTTGCATGCACAGCCCTTCTACCAGTCCTTTTCTACAGCCCCTAACTCTTTAGAAGCGGAGGCTAAACGCGTCGCTGTAAACTTTAAACGCGCCCGTCGCCTGGGCTTGCAGATTATTGGGCAGTGAGACATTCTTCATATACACAATTATATGCTTTACTTGTCTCCTTTCGCTCTTATCTATACTGTCTCCTTTTAATAATATGCTTTACTTGTCTCCTTTCGCTCTTATCTATACTGTCTCCTTTTAATTATATGCTTTACTTGTCTCCTTTCGCTCTTATCTATACTGTCTCCTTTTAATAATAT